CATTTCGATAAAAAAAATTCAGGATGTCTGCGTAGCAAATATTACCCCTAGTCCTATCCTCATTGGTTTCCATAAGTATTTGTTGACATTAAACACATTTAGGGAGAGTAAGGGGATCTAATTTGTTAATAGCCAGCGATAATCAAGTGATAAAAGCGAGATATTAGGATGAAAATTACAGCATCAAAGAACAGAAAAAAGGAACTTGGCCTCTGCTACCCTGAGAAATCACGAAACAAACAAGCCAGATGGGTTCAAACAACGAGCAGTAAACAACCAGCATCAAAATGGAGCAACATCCCACTAAACCGCCACAATTAACGTCTCACTAACACACAAAGGTTAAGAAAACCTGCTTCGCAAATTTCCTACACCAATAAAAATAACAAGATAGAAAAAACAAACAAAAATCCAAGATTTCTTTTTCATAACGTCGATCACATCGAGCTGTGGGGGTAAGGAGCTGACCGCAACGCAGCCGCGTTGCATCCGAAAACACACTGCGATCGGGTTATCACTTGCGTAGCGAGCAATAATCTGTCCTTGTTACGTAAATAACGGCGAGAAAGCGCATGATCTTGTGATGTTGACGCGTGGGTTGTTGCTGTTTGTCAGCGTAGCTTCCGTAGACTGAAGAAGAATTGGCTCAGATTGAGCTTTCTAACCTATTTGTGTGACTATGCACTGGAAGGAAGATAAGAGGCTGGAATCAAGCACCAGTGCAAGAACTTGAGAAGTGCTGTCAGAAAACCAGATTCAAGGGCAACGGCTGTGAAAGAAGGTTTGAAATGATAAGAAAACAGTCCTGCATGCAACTCCAACACTAACCACAGCCAATAGTATTTTAGCGACGGTTGATTCACTTCCAATCTCTCGAACATTTAAGATAACAATTTCCTTTTATCGTTCTTACATTTGATAGGAACTTAGTTTTTTTCATCTCTTAGCTCAGAGTGGAATCCCTTGGTTATTTTCGTGTCCTTTATCAGTTGAAGACGCAGCTTCAGGGCCCAACCCTCAGAATGGATGAGTACTTTATCCTATTTTATTCTTTTTCAGTCTTTTTACTAGTGTTAAAAATAAATGACGTTATCATGAATTTTGAGTGGTGAAGATAGAAATGACTAACTGATACTGCGTCAAGTATGGCCAGTTCAAATCTTCTGAG